TCAGGACAACAAAAACCTGTTTTAAAGAAGTATTTTTCTCAGCTAGTTTTATTCTTGGGAATGTCCTGAATAGATACAGCCACACCTGCACCTTTTTCTCAGTTGGAATGGGCAGGACCAGACCATAAAGAAGTCTTGGTTTACAAGGAGCAACCCACTGGGTCCTTGGGCAGCCTGATGAAATGGTCCCTGATGGGATGATGGGAAGCTCCCCAAGCACAGAGTGAACTTGCATCATCTGGAAACACTGCCACAGGTCACTGATATCTGAATGAAGGGTCTGGCAGAACATGCAAACTCCAAGTGGAGAGATGACTTATTTAATGTCAGCTAGAGCTTACAGAATAATGCAGGCTGTTCCCTCCAGTGCTAGTGAGTTCTGTGGTATCTAAAATACAAATGTGCCTGCACACAGGCCTCTGCATCTTCAGGGCAGTTGTTAGACCAGGAAAAAAACATCCTTGTTCTGCATTTTTTTCCTGATCTCTGATTTTCCTTTTCTGAAATTCACAGAACCATACAATGGTTTGGATTGGAAGGGACCTTAAATACAATCTCATTTTATCCCCCTGCCATGGGCAGGGACACCTCCTACCTATCCCAGGTTGCTCCAAGCCTCTTCCAACCTGGCCTTGGACACTTCCAGGGATGGGGCAACCTGTGCAAGGCATCAGCACCCTCACAGGCAAGAATTTATTCTCATATCAGCCTAAATCTGCTCTCTTTCAATTTGAAGCCATTTCCCCTTGTCCTGTCACTTCAGGTTTGTTTTACACATTTCTCAGCCACTTGTAGACTGTGGAATTAAATGCATCCACAGTAAGTACTTAGTACCTCTTCTCTTAGAAATGTAAACACAGATTTGTTGATCTGCTGAGCTCTGCCCCAAGCCAGAGTAGGTGGGACATGTTTTGAGCTGGTCCTTCATCCTCCCTGTGCCTCCTCTGGCCTTTAAGCACCCCTTGCTTATAGAGATGAGGTGCTGGGGTGTGTATATGGGGGTGTTTCTTATGTCTAAAGGCAGACTGTAACACTTCAGGATAGAACTGATTCTAACAAATCACTTGAGACTGGGATAAAACTGATGCTAACAAATGCACTTGGGACTGGGATAAAACTGATGCTAACAAATGCACTTGGCTCTGCCTTGCCTGCAACATGTTAATCTTGACCAAACCTGTATGTGTTTCTTACTATTGCAAAGAAAGCTTCAGATTTCAGTTTTATTTTTTTAATGAGGGCGTATTTCTATATTTCTATCCAGTAACGTAGTTATTCCAGCTTAGATTTGAAATACATGTATTTCTGTGTTTCAAGCCATGAAGTTTTCCTGATGGACAGTTCTAACAGTGCAGCTGGACATCAAAACATCTCAGAAAGCCAGCTCTTGCTCTCTTAAGCCTGTTGCTGTTTATCTGCCTCCTGCAAGAGAAAAACAAGGGAGGGGGAAATAGATACTGCGTAAAGGAAAAAATAACAAATAAATTAATGCCAGGTGTCTGGAAGCAGTTCCTTACTTAGCTTCCTTTTGGGAAAAGGTGGAACAACAAACCCCACAATCCCTTTTTATCTTCTCTGCAGCCCTCCTCATTGTGCTCTGTTTCTGTATCCCCAAATAAAGTTGGTTGGCCATCCCCAGAGCTTTGAGGGTTATCCTGCCACCTCCTGCTGAAATCCATCCTCATGGCATTCCAAGGTAACCAAGCTGGGTCTTTTTGGGGTTATGGATGAGTCAGTTGGACCTTGGGCACTGTGGTTACTGTGATTCTTGTGGGCAATAATAATAACAATAATGATAATAATAATAAAACAACAACTTTTAATGTAATTTTTATGAGCTACTCTAGAGGCAAATCCCTGTCCTGGGCCTCAACCCCACTGAGTTTTTGTTTATTCTAGGAAATGACTTTGTGTGATACTGTGGGCTGTATTATTATCCTTTAAATGTATAGGTTTGTACCAACCCCCCAAAGTGTACCACGAAACTCACAGGCATGCAGTGCTGATCTTAGTCTGCTGCTGGGCACACTTTTATTAAGAAACTCTTGCTGGTCATGCATGACATCAGGCTGATAGAATGAGGATACCTTAATTTGACTAAATTGTTTTGGAGTTGTCCAAGATAAGGAATTTATCCTTGTCACAACCCAGCCCCGAGTTTTAGCACTGCCCTTGTTGATGGAAGCTGTATAAAGAGATTTTTTCTTCATAAATCTTAAGAAAGTGGTGGGAGAGAAGGGGGTGAAATTCCTGACAGCACTGTGGTAGCACCCAGAGCAAAAGCTACTTTGTATTTTGAGACTGGTGGAGAATTTCAGGTACCACAGCACATGCTTTCTCAGCTCACATACAAACTCCCAAGTCACCATTTTCAGTATGCACACATACTATAGTTCCAGTTAGCAGTACTGGTCTTGTGAAGCACACGAAGATAAGAGTAGGTTGGCAGTCTGCTCTTCTCCTCTAGCCATTTTATTTTCCTCCTAGTGTGACTGTACCTGCAGAGCAGAGCACTGTAGCTGCATTTTGATAGCATGAAACCACAGCCCTCCTCTTCTCTGTCTCTTTTTCTGCTTTACCAGGCTCCTTGTCTGTTTAAGAAGGTGTCAAGACTGGCCATAGTGCTTCTGTATAACACAAAATAACTTGGCAGACAGGGGGTGTGTGTAAATGTTTGCTTAAAGTAGCAATGTTTCAGGTCAGTAATCAGATTGCCCAGTTCCAGCCAGAGGTGAATTTTTACCACCTCGTATAAGCTGATTTACAGTGGAAGCATGAAGAGGTGATGAATGCAGACAGCCCTGCAGGCCAGCAGCCCCAGTGCTGCCAGCAGCCCATCCTCTCCCAGGCAGCAGCAGCAGCAGCAGCTTGCCAGCAGGGCAAGTGGGCAGTGCTCTGCCAGCTCAGTGCATGGGAGGCATCAGTGTTCACACCAGCACCAGAAGATGTGAAGCCAGGTAGCATAGGAATGTGGTTTAATGTTTGTGATCTCATGGGGATGCCAGCATTTGCTGCTCTGAAAGAATTTTCAGGAATTTTACTCTTTGAGTCAAGGAGTACAAGGTTGTCTCATGTAGATCTTGTAGACTTGGGGCTAAAAAATTGAGCTTATGGACTTGATAGCCTTATTGCAGGCATAGGAATATTCTCTATTATCCATTATTTTTCCTGCAAAGCACAGGAAATATATTTAAAGCTGGTTTGTGTAATTATCAATTGGAAAAAATTAACAGAAATACAATACAGAGATGGAAGAATGTCCTATTGAAGTAGAAAATACATTCATTTATGTCAATAGGTGTTTTTCATTGCACTGGGCCATTTAATCCCCCTCATTCTCAGGGGTGCACTGCTGTCAGGTAAGGTCCCAATGTATTCAGCTCTCAACCACCTGGGTAAGGTTTTTATTACACCACATGCTCTTTAAACATGTATTCTTTTACACTGCTAGGGAAAACTCAAGCCTGAGGCTTTGCTGTGACTAAATTTGAAGAGCTAGGAAGATTAGTAAAAAAAGAATTCTGTCTCTAATTCCCCCTGCAGAGGAGCAAGCTTCCCTTTGCAGGGAAAGTCCTTTCCCTTTGCTTGCTTTCATGGCTGCTTTGCAAGCCTGGATGCAAGTGCAGGGTCATGGGCAGCCTGACTGGTGGCTCCTAAGGCTGTCACATGCACATGTGTGTGAGCATTTCTGCCTCCCTTTGAGGCCCAAATTATCTTCTAGGAGTGCAGGGAACAAGGTTTGGGACTTTGAAATTAGCATATGCAGAGGTGGGCAAATAAAAGGTACCTGTACTCCACTGGCCATATCACATCTCCTTGTTTGCTTGGCATGTGCCTTTGCTGGAACAAGGACATTTGCAGCTGAGTTAAAAGGATTAGGGTTTCATCTGCAGTCATAAAGTGAAAAACTGCAGAAAAGCCTTTCTAGGCTTAGGACCCTGTGTTTGTGAGCCTGTATCCATGGCTGCTTTCACAGCTTGTTCACATTTTTGGTCTGGTTTCTGAGCGCTGGCTTGTGGTAGGCGTGTTTCTACTCACAGGTTTGATTTAGGGGCAGAAGCTGGAATCATAAATGTGTTATCGAGCAGTTGCTCGTACGTTTATAACTGAATGTATTCAGCTAATAAATGTCACCTTGTTTTCTCTGTGCAGCCTGGTCCCGTGGAAGGTCCCTGTCCATGGCAGGGAGTTGGAACTAGACGATCTTTAAGGTCCAACTCAAACTGTTCTGTGATTCTATGATCATATCGAGGTGCGTTTTTTCAGATCGAGTCAAAACTCCCTTTGCTGCCCCACTATTTTGCAAGGTATCTTAAACAGTATCCAGCCTCTTCAGTATTTTTTTTAACCTTCTGAAAAGAAAGCATCCCTAGCTGCTGAGCTGAATTTTGCTGATTTTTAAGCCTCTCAGCATTGTTACTCTCCTATGTCTAGGTGACATTCTTTTCGTGTGCACCTCCTGCTTAAGCATTTGCACCCAGCATAGTATGTGCAAAAAAAAGAAAAAAAAAAGGTCTTTCCTAAAAATATGACTGTATCTACGAGAGAATTATCTGAAATTGTGTTCACGTTCCCAGTAAGGTTTTAACTTCGGGGGCAATTCCGGCTCTGTGCCTTCCGGCGAGGACGAGGCTGACTCCTCTCGGGCTCCCGGCAGCAGGAGCCCCCTCCGTGCGCGGGGCTCTCCTTTGTTCGGGGCCGGGCGCGGGGCGGAGCGGCGGGGCCGGGCGGGGCCGGGCCGGGCCCGGGCCATAGTGATTTCCAAAG